CGTCTTAAGACCCCCTCCCGCTCCTAGCAGACTTCCGTCCGGCCGTTCACGAACGGCCATGGATGGAAGGTAGTTAAAACACTTTAGAGATTACTTAGCAGCCAGCTACCTTTTGAGACAATAAACTCAGGACACCCCATGTGCAACGTCGGCCACACGAGCACCACGGGAGGACAGAACGCCGGGACCTGTAATGCACTGGAATGTAAGCAGGCCGACTCTCTGCGTTCCGGTGCGGGAGGGGGTGTGGAGCTGTATTGAAGTCATTGGCATCGCCCACAGTGCGATCGCCCGCACTCGGAACGCAGGCACATTAGTGCCTGCATTCCGGTCCAGTGCGATCTGCAAAAATAGTGCTCGCAGGCACTAATGCAGGCGATCGCACTGTGGGCGAGGGGCCTGCCTGCGCAGCCCACGCCCCCTCCCGCCCCTGAATGCAGGTGTTTTTTCGTTGGTAGATCTCAATGAGCTCGTCATTTGAAAAGTAGATCTCCAGGCGAAAAATAGTGGGCGCCCCTGGTATAGAGTGCAAGCATAAGAAGCATGTAACACACAACACAATGTACAGAGTGCAGCACTTGGGTTTATGTATAATAGTGCCCCTTACATTGCTAGTCTGAGTGTGGGAAATAATCTAGTGTTGGTAATAGGTGGGTAAAAAACACACCGCACGAATGTTAGTTGGGTTGAAAAAAGTCTGCTCAGTGAGCAAAAAGACACCATGTTTCATTAGTAACTGGGAATACAAATGCATGGCGTTATTGGCCAGTAAGAGAGAAAAAAATTCCCTGCTTTGTTAGTGGGAAGAAAAAATATGTGTGGCTCTATTGGTCATTAGGACATTTTAAAAAATCCCCCCCGTGATGGTCAATAGGGTAAAAATTACCCAGTGTCAGTAACTGGAAAAAATGCTGTGGCGTCAGTAGTTGGGGAAAAGAAATGTACTGGCTTCAATGTCGGTGAACAGAAAAATTGCCTGATGTGTTTGTTTGAGAAATGGGTTGAAGCACGAGGAGCTAATCTGTTGCTCAATTTATGTAACAGTTTGACCAACAAATTTTAGCTCCTTGTGGTTCAACCCATCTGTTTCTTTAGCGGTACCTTGTGCTCGTGGATAAGCTGGCTCGCGAGTAGGTGCAATTTTTCATGGACCTCTAGGTCAATACATCGTCCCCACACCTGCAGGAGGAGCCATGTTGCCACATGAAGGAGGGCTCTTTCCTGAATATGGATTATGTCAGTTGGGGCTCTGTTACAAAAATGGAGGGGCAAGACCGGCTCTATAATTGACAGCTGAATAAGCTCTCAAATACCATTTGAATTAGCAGTGCTGTATGTGTGTGACCACCGGAGAATTCCCCGGCCTGAGTCTGCTGATAACACTGCTTGAGATTTTACCTCAGCAGAGACCACAGGAAGTGAAGAACTTACTGGATTTTTGGCAGAACCAAGTCCCTTTTTATTTTTTTTTATTTTTCTTCTTGCACGTATGGTATGGTATCTTTTAGTGGTATATTTAAGTGACCAAAAGGGAGCATATCCAAGACATTTATTGTAAAGGGTATACATACTGTTTGTTTCATCGCTATTGTAAATTTATGTGCATGTGTGACAAGTATCGCAATGGTTTATTATGGCACAGCAGTAGTGTTTAAAACAAAAAAAACCTTCACAACTGTGTGTGTGTTCGTGTTCAAATTGGAGTATTTGTGTGAATATTTGCGAGAGTAGCAGGGTGTACATTTTTATGTGTGGGAGTTGTTAGTGTGTATGTATAACCATTTGTGTGTCGGTATGTAAAAGAGACCTAAATAGCAATGCATACATATACAGTATATATACCACCTAGAGACACCTGAAGTATTGCATAGGGCATGTCATTTTGTTCTCGTACATGCTCAATATACTGTCATTACAAAGGTGAAAACATTTTCTTATTGTATTTTTGTAGAAAAAATAATGTTTTTGTAATTTTTTTTTAGCTCTAATCACCTTTTGCAGATTCATTTTAATCATTAATTTTGTTTATGTCTGGCCCTCCAACTTGTATAAGTAAACATTCTGCCCTCCTGTGGTTAAGGAGCTGGACAGCATGTCAAACATTTTCTTTGGAAATCAGGCATTTCTGCAAAAGAGCCAAGTCTTGTGTCCTATGACAAATGAATTTATAATGTATGCTTTGTAATTGGTGATTTAGGGCCCACACAGGATCTTATGTACATACCAACATTATTACCTTTTTATCTGCAACATCTAGTCCTACCGCTTACTTATATGTATGTGACACAGCAGAATATCCTTCTGCACCTCCAGCAAAATGTTGGAAAATTAGATGGGCTTTACAAGAAAGAGATGGGGCATTCTATTCATAATCTGTAGGTTTTATAAAAAGTTTAATTGTTTAGGCCCTTGGTTGTCATAAAAGGATCGAAGACATGAATAAGATGTGACATTCATATCAGTATCTTAAGGGGAAGAGATTTTACTGTATAATATGCATCATGAAAGTTGCACGTATCACAGTATATATTGTAGGTAGAAAAATTTAGATTTGAAGATTGTACAGCTTTTTGTTGTAAACCAAATGTGTATATTCTCTTATAGAATCTAATTTCTGATCTCTACCAGTCTCCCCTTTTCTCAGTAGCTCTTTAGTTAGCATACACGGAGGCATTATCACCATTATACGTTTTGTTTTGAGTTCTGTTTACCACTGCAAGAATAAAACTTGGCTAGTGAATAGTATTTCTTTTGAATGCCAGCAACAGAAGGTTTCCCATACTGCACTGAGCAGAATCCAAAGGTATAGACACGGGCTTCCCCTCCAGTTTATATTATGATTTATTCTACTGTTTGAAGACACTTTTATGGAGCACAGTTGAAAAATCTTATCTTTTTGATTTTTTCAAAAATGCTTATTTCTATTTTTACAGAGTATTAGAGTCTTTAGCAATACCAGTGCTAAACAACTCTAATCTTGAATATATACGCCACGATTCAGAGGCAGCCACATACCTATGCTTATACTGCATATTCAGTACAATGAAAAATAAGGCCCAATGTACCCCAGACATTGCTAACTTACATACATT